TACAAGCAGAGAGGCTATCAGATTAATGCAGAAGAAGCAGAGAGAGGTTTGGGATATGAAGGGAAGTTGGCAAGCCAGGTCCTTCCTGTGTTGAACAAGCAGTTCTGGCCCAAAGAAATTAAGGCTCTACTAGATGAGATTTACAAAGTTCCTCACACAACAACAGGAGTCTATCTTATAAAACGTCCTCATCTTATGCCTCTTAAAATATTGTAGAGCCTACATGACATTCTCCAAGGAGCCAGGCCTCACAGATCCTGGCTTCTCTTTACTACAGGGAATCCTTGGCCAGGAATAGGCTAAGGGCATTTCAGGGTTAAGATTGCCTTCTTCTAACAGTACTTACCCTATTTACTCAAAGGTCCAGGTGACAGGAGATTAGACCTGGGTCACTTGCCTTCTTTCTCCCCCTCCCTTTCTTCCCAGGAAGTGAACGGGTTTGCAGACGGGCTGCTTGCGCCCCTTCCTTACTAAAGAACTTGGTGACAAAATGTAGCTTCTTACTCGCCCAGTGCTTAGCTCTCCGTATTAGGAGTAAGTCCAATAATTTCATCAAAACAACTGAATCACAGGATCTCAGATTAGAACAGAATTTTAAAGATAATTTAGTACAAGCTCCTACCTAAAGCTTCTGCTTATTAGATCCATTTTTATACCTATCTGATTGAAGATACCTTATGGAGAAGAATCACTTTAAAAGGCTGTTGTTAAAATCTTCTATTCATTGGGGATGTCTCTTTCGTAAAAGAGAAGTCTCCCCTACCTCTCATTACCATCCCCTTTGGTCCTAGTTCCAAGGTCTGAGTTAAACCAGAATAAGCCTAATTCTTCTTCCATTGAACAGTCGTTTCACATTTCTAAGGACATTTCAAAACCACATAGATGTCCTACAACTTATCTTTTCTATGCTGACCTCTCTGGGTCCTTCAGTTGTTTATTCTGGGACAATAGCTACCTAATCTAATCTCTCCTCTACAGATATCTGGCAGCTCACCTCTGGACAAAGGCAATTTTAGAGACTTCAGAGGCTTTGGGTATGGTCTAACCAGGAAACTGCAATTTGTTTGAACTGGATACCAAACCTCCTCTAATAGAGTACACATTTAAAAACAACTCTCTGTTTTAGCAGATGGGCATGCTATTTTAGCAGATGGGCATACTATTGGTACACGTGCAATTGTGGTCATCTGCTACTTCCAGGTCATTTCCCTCTTTTTATACACTGTCAAACTCAAATGCAAAACTTGACATTCACCACTATTCAGTTCAGTTCAGTTCAGTCGCTCACTGTTAAGTTCCATCTATTTGTTTCAGTTTATTATTCCAGTCTGAAACATTTAAATATAAAATATATCATCTGACACATTATTAGCTCCTCCTCCTAACTTTGCTTCAGTCATTTGATGTGCTTAGTCGCTCAGCTGTGTCCTACTCTTTGCTACCCCATGGACTGCAGCCCACCAGGCTCCTCTGCCCACGGAATTTTCCAGGCAAGAACACTGAGTAGGTAGCCATTTCCTTCTCCAGGGGGTCTTCCTGACCTAGGGATCAAACCCAGGACTCCCACAGTGTGGGCAGCAGGCAGATTCTTTACTTCTGAGCTACCAGGGAACTCCATAATTGAGAATGGCTTCCCCTGTGGCTCAGCTGGGAAAGGAAGAATTGAGAATAGGCAACATTACTAAAATAATCTTAAAAAACAATAGTTTTTTTTTAAAACAGTGTTAATTATCAAATGTTAGTGAGTCATGGCATTTATTCCACAGCATTGTGGAAATTTTTCTTTAGACTAAATATAAGATCGGTATTTTTCTACTTCTTGTCTCCTGATGTAAATTACAACTTTATCTTATCTTATACACTAAATCTCATTTCTCAAAACCACTTCATATGTAATTGCTGGCAATATGTTTTTAAAATACAGATACTGGGGTAAAATATTAAACAAAAACCAAAACTCCTCACTCTTGAAGTATGACACAACCATGAAATAAATGTAACAAATGGCATCTGAAACCAAATTTTCTTCCTAAATTGCAGTAGAATGGTTTAATGATTAGATCCTAAGGTAGTGGAATGACACAGAAGAGTTGGCAAAGTATGCACAGACTCAGTCATTTCGTACCAAGTTTGAAAGTTTTCCAAATATACTATATAACTCATTGGTTTTTTTGACGGGAGACAATGATTCACAAGGAACACAAGAAAAGTAAGGCTACCCAAGAAGTCAGAAATGGAGTACAAAGAGGGTGGTTTACCCTTAAAAATAGGATATTAAAGCATAAATGTGTCACTTCCTTTATGATAAGAGATTAACCTGTCATATTTTCCCTGATTTTGAGTATCCTGCCCAAGGGGTGAAAGTTGAATATCAGGGAAAAAAACTATAGAATTTTTTTACCTTCCTATGTAAGCAAAAGAAAGAAAACCTCTTAAACTCTAAACCTTTTTACAACCTACAATACACTAAATTCATGACAATCTGATTTGTGTTATATCAGATAAAGTAAAGTTGTTACTTACATAACTATTCAGTAGGGCATACATTTAAAACCTACAGGTAATTAGCCTCCATTCTTACCTTTTTATTTAGTTCCAATTAGAAAATGTTTGGAAAAAACAGCTTAAAGAGCTACAGAAGTATCAGGTCAAAGTGCTTTCCAAGCACCAATTCTCACTGCATAAGGGGTAAGAATTTCACAAAAGTTTATATGAAATAAGAATAGTAGCACTTGCTGTTGGTATTTTGTTCGCTTTACTTAAAACGTAAGCAAGTGATCTGAGAATTCACCACATGGAAAATTTTCCTTGTACTCAAATAGTAAATGTAAGATCTATAAACGACATAGGATCTCTATAAACACGTATTAGTTCATCAATTTTGTTTCTATTTTCTTTCCCTATGAATAGATTCACTTTAATTAAATTTATTTCATAGCATTCATTTATTTCATACGACAGAACATAGGAAGACATATCAAAAAAGCAACCATCTCTTGAAAAATATTGCTGTTGATCTTATCAACTTTACTAAAAAAGGCAACAGTTAATTTCTTTTTTAAAAATCCAGCATTTATGTCACTGACTTTTTTATAAAGGCATAAAAGTTCAAAGAGAACACAGCATTCATCCCACATAATGAAATATTCAACTTGCCAACCCATGTACAGTCAGCCACTTGCCAAGCTTGTGACTTCAGTGGTCAAGAGAGAACAACAGTTCATACTAGTCACATTTACAAATGCATGTAAGCGACCTGTTATCCTTCACCAGCTTCTATTCTTCTCGTAGCACAACGCTTATTTGTGACTTGTGTTGTGATTTGTGTTCAGAAACCATGCTTCTAACCTGCAGCATGATATTAAACTCAAACAGGTACCCACATAAATTCTTCCCTGAATTAACCAATATTAGGTTAGTCAGTTTTCATGTCTTTTTAGCAAAAGTGTTTAGGAAGCAAAGTGCATATATTCCAACTATCTAAGACCTGCAAAAAGTAGAAGCCTATATGTTATAATTGCTTGTAATCTATTAAAATCTAAAAAGGAAGACAAGGAAATAAACAGTAGGAAATGCCAGTAGAAAAAGCCTATTGTTTCAGAAAATAAAGCGACTGTGGATACCTACTGGGATATATAAGCATTATAAATAACATTAAAACCAGCATAGTTTTTAAAACATTTACATTAATTATTTAGACTTATGACTTCAAATGGGTGATATAAAGAGATGCTTTGCTATATCTTGTTCTTGCAGAATGATGAACTGATGTCTTATTTACCAGCTATCTTTGTGTGGGGCAATATATAGAAAAATGGAACATACATTTGTATGAGTTTTTTTTAAAAAAGACCTCAGAACAGTTGCAAATGTCCACTAATATGCATATTTTAGTAACACCAAATAAAAAAAAAAGCCAATGGTTACATTTATGTCTTAAAACAGAGAAAACATGGAAGTGTATATCACATGTATTACATAAAATTTATACTACTCCAGTTTATATATGTCTATTATTTCCTAATATCTCTTGAGTTTGGTGGTATATCTAAGCTAAAAAATAATTGACTGAGGAGATGCAAAGGATATAAAATTGCTAATTTACAAATATATAATGTAGAAAAATAATGTTAGAAATAAAAATTAATGTACATTAGTGCTGGACATTACATTAGATTTGCTGGATCCTCTATTAGTTCAGTCTTGAAGTCTCTGAGCAAGATTCCCCCTCACTCCCCACCCCACTCTCTAGGCTACTTAGGTGCAATTATGCATTTATAGGGCTTCCCTGATAGCTCAGTTGGTAAAGAATCCATCTGCAATGCAGAAGACCCCAGTTCAATTCCTGGGTCGATCCGCTGGAGGAGGGATAGGCTACCCACTCCAGTATCTTGGGCTTCCCATGTGGCTCAACTGGTAAAGAATCTGCCTGCAATGCAGGAGACCTGGGCTCAATACCTGGGTTGGGAAGATCCCCTGGAGAAGGGAAAGGCTACCCACTTCAGTGTTCTGGCCTGGAGAATTCCATGGACTGTATAGTCCACGGGGTCACAAAAAGTCGGACGCGACTGAGCGACTTTCACTTCACTTCATGCATTTACATGAAATTATACATGAGATTAAATAGAAAAGAAATATTTTAGCTGGCTATATAGGAATCTATATGTAGCTCTGGCTGTTAAAACATAAATACATCTAGAAAGACAGACAAACATCAAGAGCCACATGATCCTAAAGGTTTTTAAGTGAACATTCAAGAAATTGGGATCATTCACCTTTCTCAAAGTTCATGAATCCAGAGATATACACACTAATACAAATACACAAGTAAAGGTATTATTTTTGTTAATATACAAAATGACATCACAAGAGTGATCCCTGAATGCATTTGGAGTTGACCTTTATAAATTAAGAATTACATGTTTAGATTTATGTTCACCCTTGAGTCATTACTCCCAGTGTTGTCTGTTTGTTAGACTGCTGGAAATCCTAGCACTCACCAGTATAAAGTGGTATGCATACAGCGCTGTACAATGGTGAATTACAAAATACTTATCACCAATCACTTTCCAATACCAAATGAGAATCAACAAATCTGTAAGAAGGAAAAGTAAGACATTACATAGGAAGAAAGTGTCATCATTTTTCAAATGTACTTAACTCTTTCTCCTGACAGCTCACCACAGTCCATTCTGAGCCCACAGCACTTGTCTCATACATCAGGAGATCAACCACCCTTTTTACCACAAAGCCGGTGCCTCCAGAGGCTATCTCCCTCAACTACTGCGACTCCTCTAGGATAAGCACCAAGTTGGGGCATCCATCACAGTGCCTGGCATATAGTTATGTAATGTATTTGTTGAAAGTATAAATGAATAACTTGTTTCCAGAGTTAAACAAAGCAAAAATATTATTGAATAAAAATAACTGTAAAAATAAGCTTAAATTATTGATTTTTGTCAGTATGAAAACTCGGAAATTAAAATGGTCCCAGAAAAGGTATAAAATGACCAACTCATTTATAACACAAATTCAGCAAAAGAATTTAAAAATTAACAAAGAATGTGATTAAATATTAATTCAGAAGAGAAAAAAGAAAAGGACCAAGAACTGTAGCTATTAAAAAGAGATCTTAAAAGAGAGCTCAAGGCATTGATTTTCTTTTAATTCAAAATCAGCACCGTGATTTAGAAAATTGTTTCCTTTAACCAAACAGAAATGTCTCAAAATTTGAACACAACTATCTTCTTTACCAAATGGTTAAACATGAAATTTAAACATGGAAACAAATGGCTATCATGGATTGAAACCAGAGGAGAATTCAGGTTTTAAGGATTTGGAGCTTATATCATGGGGAGTTTCTTTTATAAAAATTGCTAATACAAAACTAGATGTGACTATATACATAAAGATAAAAGAAATTATCAAATTATAAATTTTCAGGAGAGAAAAAAAGTACCATAAATGTGGAAACCAAGAAAATTTTAAAGTGTTAGTAATTTCCTGCCCTTTATACTTCTCTAAATGCACTTTCCCTATATTTCAGCTGCATAGTCTTTGATCACCAATTTATATTAAGATAATGATTTTATAATATTTTCTATAGAGAGAATAAAAGAATTCACTTTTCACCCAGTTTGGTATAGAAATTTTGTTTCAGTTCATAATCCTTATTTTTAAGAGTTTTGAATTATTGCCTTATTTGAGTAAACCTTTCTCAAGTTCCTTTTGTACAAGATTTCCTGGGTTGTAACTTCTCTCTGAATTGACAACAGTCATTAACCAGTGTATGAAGCATATTGTAAATTTTGTGTTAACCTTGTCAATGACAGAATTTTGTGCCAAATGAGCAAATATTTTCCCAGTGTGTCCACATGATTCACTCTTCTTTTAATTGGGCCATCAAACAATCCAATAGCCTATTCATTATTTCTATCCCAAATATATCTTTTCCTTTTAATAAATTACTGTGTTTCAATTTAATCTAATTTTTTGGTTACAATTCACTTCTTGATGGCAGAACATTTTCTAAGACTATCTATATCACTTTTGATTCATATTCTATTATTTTTTTTGGATTTTATTTCAGCTGTTTATTAAGTTCAAAAATTCCAAAACAGTGTTTCCTACATAAATGTCCAAGTCAGGGATCTGTTATTTCTCTTTTGTTTTATTGAGGCAGTTCAAAATGTCTTTTTAAAAAGCAGTTTAAATGGCATATTCTCAACCTAACTTCCACTCTGTCTCGTTGTGTAAAAGATGACTCCAATCTCATCCAACATGAGATGAAATATGACACAGGGAAATGTGAAGTAGAAAGACTCCATGATCTTCACTGATTATAACTAAAATAGCTTACTTTTGCAGATTTTACCAAAACCATACAAAACCATGACCACGGAAGCACATCTCAAGTGCCTGTGAGATGAGGACCCTCCGGCTTAGGCTTCATTAGCTTCAGGGTGACTACACCTGAGCAACTTTAGTCCAAACAGGGACAATCACTGGTTAAAACAAAACAAAACAAAACAAAACAAAAAACCACTCCAGGTTTAACTGAGGCCTCACTCTACAGTTCTAATCTTTGAGAACTATAGAGCCACCATGAAAAATGTTTCATATCCTACCATCAGAGCAGACGTTTTTTCCCTCAGTATGGGTCCTAAAAGCTACTTCTCAAATACCCAAACCTAAAGCACTGAGTCTATTCTTTGCATAATTCCATAGCAGTTTAAAAAGAAACAGACAGATATGAACAACATATCACATACCAGAAACGAGATAGCCTGAAGCAATAGCAACATTCACTTTCCCAAGAGATGGATCACCCCTATAAATATTAAAAAAACAGGTTTCTTTTTTTAGCACATGGTTATAGATGACAGTTACTATTTTTTCTATCGAGATTTAAATATAAATGCTTTCTATAGGTAGCAAATAGTAACCTATCATTTGCATAAGGTATTAATGTTAGCTATGATAATGCTTCTAATTGCAATAATCAGAATTTCTTATACTTATTAGACAAAAGTTTTATGAAAATAAACAATGTTTTATAAGTATGTTCTCGTATGATTTGTTTTTGAAAGGACTAAAATGTAGTTCCAGATGCTGGTTGTTGTTTTGATTCCTATTTTGAATCAGAGGCTCAAACAGGCTCAAGAAATAATCTAGCCTGCCCCGATATAGAGGCAATATATTGAATACTATTAGCATTCTCACTTTTCTGAGGACTGGAGGGACTTCCCTACTAGCACATATTAGAAGGGCTTCCCAGGTGGTGCTACTGGCAAAGAATCAACCTGCCAACGCAGGATTCGTGGGTTCAATCCCTGGGTTGGGAAGATCCCTTGGAGGAGGAAATGGCAACCCACTCCAATATTCTTGCCTGAAAAAATTTCACAAACAGAGGAGCCTGGCAGGCTACAGTCCATGGAGTCACAAAGAGTCAGACACGACTGAGCAACTGGGCATGCATACATTAGAAAATGGTCAAAACAGGACAATTTAATCCTGTTGTTTCAACCCTTTTGCCCTAACCTTGGTTCCAAGGAACAAATACAAATTATCAGTCCTTTATCTGACTTATAAGGTGAATTACTGGTAAAATGAACATTAAGTAAAACTGATAACAGCTAAACTACAAGTGGAAATATTTAGTAGAAGTTATGTCTTCTTTACAAATTTTCATTTGTAAATATGATCCAGGAAAATTGGACCTGAAATAAACTACAGTACCAAAAAATGCTAAAATATCAAAATGTATAATAGGTAAAAATTTGTTCAGGACAAATTGGTCAATGAATCAAACCTGTGTTATAAAATTTACTTCCCAAAAGAACTGGTTCTATTGACAATCGTGTTGGTAAAATATGGGAAAAAAGCAGCAATTGTTTAGGTAGATTGCATTAAAACCTGGTCAAAGAATTAAACTCACTAAATTAATTCACTTTGAAAAAGATCTTCTAAATGAAAATTAACCAAAACTGGTGTGATTCTGACTAGCATAACTTCATATTTATGAATAAAAAACAACATAATTTGAGTCAAGTAGAAACAATCAAAAGACCTGGTTAAATCGCCCCACATCCCTCAGAGGCCATGACTATCACATCCCTGTGCAGTGCTCTCTCAAAACACAGTCTGTTAAACTAAGCTGAACTAAAGCTTCTCATACAGTGCCAGGAAGTACAGTTTGTAAAATTTCTGCCATGGGAAAGATATTTAAATTCTCCAAAAAGAACACTTTACAAATAATCCTATTATGGCTGAACACAGTTACTATTGATGCTTTAAATCATTTCATGCGGTACTAAACTCTTTTCACAAGGACATCTATAATTCTCATTTTCCTATCTTTGAAATTGAAGGATGGGTCAAACATAAATTTGAAGACAAAGTGTTGTTTATCCAAGTTGACTATTCTATCTCAATAACAACTCATTTTTGCTCAAAACAGTGGTTATAACTTGATTTCACTCACTAACACAGTATACACGTTTACATAATTATCATATTCTCTCTATTTTGGATAGCAATTGCAATAGTAATGCAAAATGGACCTCATTATTTGTATTCAAATCTAAAATAAATCATTCTAATGCACCTTGCTGAAACAAGTCTGAACACAAGCATTTAAATAAACCATACACCATCAATATGCTTTCTGTTTTACAGTAAAGAGATGTTCTTATTAATATTAATATCAAAACATAAATCAAATTGACGATATTAGAAAGAAACAGCTTACCAAAGTGGATCAGCAATACCAGCCTCATCAAACAAGAAAATGTACAAGCCAACAACCCCAACCAACAAAGAATGACACGTAGATACCACCCTGAAACGAGAGGAAATACACACAAAGATTTTAGATTCTGTGCAATAAATTTTAACTAATTCTGGCAAGACATTTAACACGCTGAAGAAGCTAAATCTGGAAGCATTTAAATATAGGATTGCAGTACATCTGAGAGTATAACACAAAATGGCTATTTAGAAATCCAAGGGCCATAACTTTACTTTGGAATCGATAACAAGAAGGATGCCTAGGTCTACAATCTCTCCTGCTAGACAACTGATGAACCACTTATTGGTTAAAGGGTCTGAAGGGGAAGAATAGCTAATGAGCTGGTTGACAGTCTTATGCAAACAGTTGGCACCTGGTAAGCACACCACCCTGCACCCTGCTTCGTCCCCAGCAGCGTCACTAAGAGAGTAGTTTCCTGCTCCAATCAGACCTGAAGGACTTCCAAATCTACCACCCTTAATGAACTCTGCATCCATGGATCAGAACTGGTATGGACTGTGAAGTGTAAATGTATTCCCTTGGAGATTTCAGTTTTAATACACACATTATTGTACTTGATTCTTTTAAGAAATCTGTGAGATAGCTAGGGCAGCTATTGATTATGAGTGTCTCTTTATCATTGTTATGAAAATGAAAGGCTATGAATTCATCCAGAAGAATCTGTTTTTTAAAAGAAATGCCCAAGTGAAAACAAAATGTTCACAGGATCCAGATCAAATTTTCTTTACAGAAAGAATAACGTTTAGCTGAAAAACATCAGTTTCATTGAACGTATCTTGTTAAACATTTAATGACCTAACCAAGCTCCAAGATATCCTACTTACAGAACTATATACAGGACACTATACACTTATTTACAAAACAAAAACATTTATGAGTAGTGAAGTTTCTCTTCTTTTCAATAGAATAAAAGATGAGAGGAATAGTAAAGTTTTTAGAAATTAATTGCAGTGATAAAGAATCCACCTGTCAATGCAGGAGACAGAAGAGATGTGGTTGGATCCCTAGGTAGGAAACAGTGATCCCCAGGAGTAGGAAACAGTGATCCACCCCAGTATTTTTGCCTGGAAAATCCCATTGACAGAGGAGCCTGGTGGGCTACAGTCCATGGGGTCACAGGAGTTGGACGACTGAGTATAGTACAGGAGTAAGGAGTGGAAATTAATGGTGTGCAATGAATCTCTCTAAGTATGACCCCAAATCTTTAAAAGTGAGTGAAATATATCAACCAATATAAAAGCTGATATGGAAAAATTCACTGCAATTTGAAAAATCAATATAGTTGATCTAATAAATAATGTGATCCTTAGCAAGAACATCAAATTAATCAAATCATTTTAAATGCTCAAAGAGTCTCACTAAGTTAAAGGTATTGAGTCCTTGGTAATACCAAAATATCATTTTGAAATGTGATAATTAACTCAATTAACCTGGTTTACAAGTCTGGAATTTTCACACCAAGTACATCTGTATTCCACTTGAACATAGCAAGATAAAAATATAAGTTCCTTGATGTCAAGTAAAGCACTCCATCTAAATAATCATACAACCAGTTTCCTGTTGACATTCAAAAATTCTACTAAAGGAAAAAGCATAACTTCTTACTAACCCGTGGCAGTGCTTGGTAACCTTCTATCAAAAAGTTACCTTTTGGAAAAAAATCTAAATTTTTGTTCCTGATACTCAGGCCTCAAATTCCCTTCTCTGTTGAGATGTTTCATGGTAAAAGGGAAGAACTGCAAGCCCTCAACTGATGGAAATGACATATAAATCATGAGAGAAAATTTACATGGTACTTGGATCAAATAGCTCCCACTATAATGAACAGAAGAAACAAACACCCTTATATAAGCAAACATGCTTATATGCTATTCTGTATTAAAAGCCTATACATTCAGAAACGTCTACTAGTAAGAATTTCATATTTCATTCTTTAAAATCAGATTCCTGGCAAAGCAGAATGTAGATTCCTCAAGGTCTTTAAAAAAAAAAAAACCAAGATGCTACCCAAAATAAAATATTTAAACTTTTTCAAAGAAATTTAAAAAGAATGTTTGTGGGTTTTCTCTTTAAGGAAATAATGACCATTTTAGAATAGCAATTTAAAGTTACTGATGTAATCACTTACAAGTAGTATGAGTATGACCAATAGAAATGATATAGCTCCATCAGACAAAAGAATTACATTTTGAAGACAACGACTTAAAAATTAGGAATATTTCAGCATAACAGGACTTTCCATGTCATAGGAAAGCAAGTGGAAATAATGAATTCATTTAATTATATAACATAAATAATATCAATAAGTATGCATCTTTGCAGAAAAAGCAACAATTATGTACAAGATTATCTCACTTATAATTAATTGTTATCTCTCAGGTGTGAACTTTATGGAGAGTTTTTCTGCCTAGATTGTACCCCGCCAGGCTCCTCTGTCCATGGGATTATCCAGGCAAGAATACTAGAGTGTGTTACCATGCCCTCCTCCAGAGTATCTTCTCAACCCAGGGATCAAACCCATGTCCCTTATGTATCCTGCATTGACAGGCAGGTTCTTTACCACTAGTGCCACCTGGGAAGTTCAAGATAGATTTATATATACACGTATATATACACATGCACTCAAAAAGCAACCAACTGTTTTTGTTTCTTTGCACTGTCCACCTTACAGCTTAAGTCCCATGTAAATTAAGGTGGAGTGGGAAACAGGAGTAAATGTGAAGAAAGAGAATACTATTTGAATACCATAATGCATCTTAGATAATTCCAGGTTTTTTTTTTCAAATAGGAACTCAGTTTCCCAAATTGTGATTCCATGTCTCATAAAGTGGCAGTGATAAGACTGAATAACGCTAAGTATTTTTCCATTTCATCATTTTATTTCATTTTTATCTTCGCTTCAATCTATCTGAAACCTCCCTATTTCTTTGGCTTGCAGCTCCCCAAGATTCAAATGCCTTTACTCACCCTAATCATGTTGAAGAGAAAATGAAAATAGTTCAAAATTTAATCACAGAAAATGTATGTCCTCCTGTATATCCCTTTCCTTTTCTTTCCCACTATCTTTTGTCCCCTCCCCACCATCTCTTATCCTTTTCTTTTCCATTCTATCTTCACATTAGAAATGGTTTTACAAAATAACGGTGTCTTTTGTATCCTACATTTGAACAACATTTCCATGCTATTCTTTAGACAAAAGAATCATACCTCTTATTTTTCAAAAATATGTGGAGAAATAGTTCTAACTTTTGGGGAGAAGAGCCGTAACATGTATGAACCAGACCCATCAGTGTAAGATGCAGAGAAAAACAACTAGCCTTATTCCCAGTCTGAGTTATAAAAGTGCATGCCTGCAAAACAATTTGGCTCAAAGATAGGGCATTTCAGGTCTTGTAAGGCCACTTTCAAATAAATACTTTGGCAGAAGTTTTTAATTCTAAAAGGAAATTTCAATGAAAAATAATTATAGCAATGTTGGAGATCTGCTGGATTCATTTTCTAGTCAGCATTAACTTCAACTAAATAAGAACAATAAGAAGTATCCCATAGCTGCTGTAATTCCCTGAGGTTTGCAAATGCACAGAGGTCTTTGAGCATCTGAAATGCTCTAAAGCAAGTGAACCAGTCATCAAAGTTGTTTCACGCTTGAAACTCTGTGAGAGATTAACAAGTTGCATATACACAAACAATTTGCAAATCAACTAACTAAAACTGGTAGATTTCTACATCATTAGATGTCTTACTCATTTTTCTCTTACTTTTTTGTTAAAAAAAATTGTTTTAAGCAAGTTTTACTTTAAAATTACATAACGAATAGATTCTGGAGGGCTCTGAATTATAATGAAAAGTTCATTAAAAGAGAGACACAGATGTTCTAACTGTACACCAGGTTCTTTGGTATGTAGTGTTAAATGCCCTAGGTTGGACTAAACCAGCCAATACTATATATAGGCTACTCACAGTCCCAACTACTATTACTTTCGTTACCGTTTCCAAGAACATGTATTTGTTATCATAAATATTTCAGAGGAGAATGCAAAACAGTGCCTTCCACCACAGTTAGACACAGACTACTTACCACTTCCCTAGTGAGTTAAACTTTCCCTAACATGTTTCAGAATAAGAATTTAAAACTGTTTTTTGTATAAGATCTATCCACTTTTCTCTCCTTTAACTTCTAATGTCAAATAAAAAATTTGACCTAAGATTTTGTTAAATAGTAAGTGAAAAAGAATTTTTGGAAATATTTTAAATGTGTAATTTTGTTTCATAAGACTAGGTTTTTTAAATCAATTACATTTTCATATATGCTTTACCTTGAGTTCCATTCAATCTTCTTTTGGAAGTTGAGATTATTAAAACCTGGAGAAATCTTTGCTGAAAACCAATAACTTAAAACGTGGAAAATAACTTGAAAGGTGAAAAAGCTGGCAAAACAAGTGCTGATGAGCAGTATGGTGTTGGTATCCATATTTCTTCAACCTGTTAAAAGAAATGATGGCTATAAATTCCTTTAAATTGCCTGTAACACACCCAAATTAATTTTTTAACTTTAAAAGAGTATGTGGTCATATTTTTTTGCAATTTAATTTAGCACAAACCTAAGAGTACAAGGAAATTATATGAATTCAAACCTTTACCAGCTATCTGTCCTGGTATCTCATATTTATACCTAAATGAGGGAAAAATCTATTGTCATAAAGATCTCAATATTATAAATGTCAGGAGACAAATTTAACACCATTATACTTAAATGAACTAAGTCTAAAGTTTAACATTATGAGGGAGTTTCAAATACTGTAATTGAAGATATTTTAGTAATATTTTAAATTAAACCAAGAACAAATCACCTGATTTCTCTATGCCTCAGTTACCTCATCTATAAAATGAGAAAGTTGGTTAGATAATTACTAAGAAAAAAATTATACCAAAAATAAGAATAGAACCTTATCTGCAATAGTAAAACAAAACACAATCATCTAATAAAAAATAACTGTACCATGAGACAAACATTTAAAGTCTTAAGAAGAATAATACCACCTTGGAAAATAATCATACCATTGTTTTTGCTTAAATTAGTATTTAACCTAAAAGAAAAAATATTTTTCAACTACACATATCCTTGAACCAAAAATCCTCTATGACTTTTTATCTCTAAAATAAAACATTTTTATAAAAACACTCCAGGTTTTAGGGACAGAATTACTGGAAGAATAGTAGTACGCATATATACGCGTTCAAAGTATATTTTCTATCTCATCGAGCTCAACTTTATTTGGCTCCTAAAAATCTTAGGAACATTCAGACCAAAAAAGACACTAAATCATTCACTCATATTCAGCAAATACAGCATTTTTATGACTCCATCTTTGATAGAGCTGACCCTCAAATGAAAAGGAAATGAATCAATACGCATTTCCAGCTGCATCATGTAAAGAAATAAAATCACCTACTAAAGCCAATTCACGAGAGAAAAATCAAGTCATTGACTACACTGGCAATAACCCTACTTCATTCCCTTCCAACCAGGATATCATAATAAGAATTGGTCTCCCACAGGGCCCCTTCAGACTGAATTCATGTGTCTGTAATGAATTCCTTCCTCATTCTTTTTTTCTGGCCTGTGTGCACAGTAAAAATATTGATATCACAATTCTTCTCTGTGAAATTCCATTAATTTCATTCCTCATTTAATTTTTTTAATTCAATAAATGTTTTTTGGGTATTAAAATTTTTAATTTTAATTTATCTTGGTCTTTTAGCCTGTTTAATATTAATCAAATAATACATAAAAGTAAGTTGCCTACATAAATTAATGTCATCATAATTTGCTAAGTGAGATATGAAAAGGAAAATGTTTTTATAAGATTCAAGCAAATAAGGATATGGATCCCATGTGGGCATATCAGTTCAGTCACTCAGTTGCATCTGACTCTTTGCAACCCCAATGGACTGCAGCACGCCAGGCTTCCCTGTCCATCACCAACTCCCGGAGCTTCCTCAAACTCATGTTCATCGAGTCAGTGATGCCATCCAACCATCTCATCTTCTGTCATCCCCTTCTTCAATCTTGCCCAGCATCAGGGTCTTTTCCAATGAGTCAGTTCTTCGCATCAGGAGGCCAAAGTATTGGGAGTTTCAGCTTCAGCATCAGTCCTTCCAATGAATATTCAGGACTAATTTCCTTTAGGATTGACTGGTTTGATTTCCTTGCAGTCCAAGGGACTCTCGAGGGTCTTCTCCAACAACACAGTTCAAAAGCATCAATTCTCCAGCGCTCAGCTTTATTTATAGGCCAACTCTCACATCCATACATGACTACTGGAAAAACCGTAGCTTTGACTAGATGGACCTTTGTCAGCAAAGTAATGTCTCTGCCTTTTAATATGCTGTCTAGGTTGGTCATAGCTTTTCTTCTATGTGGTGGGCAGATAAACAAAGACAATGAAACCAGGAACAAGAAGCTAGCAGAAACTCTAATCTTCAATGTGAAGATTTGTCCTGAAGGGCTTTGTGGGTTCCCTGGAGGTTCTGGAGTGTGGCTAGGGAAGGGCTGCTTACTTCAGTTAAAATTTAATATATACAATGAGCATTTATTTCATGAGTGTTTGCTAAAAGTTATAAAACATAGAAGGTGTCATGTAACATTACCCATTTTATGAATTGTTAATTTAAGTAACATTAAAAAAAATCACTCAATTCACCATTAAAAAAATTCCTCATTCTTTAAAAAAAGCTACTTTTTATTAATTTTTCACTATTATGCTATACTGGATATTTTATATTTTCAACAGGCTTTTGTTCAACTAGGGTTTTTAGGGAACATGTTGAGACTCTCCCTTTGCAAAAATGTCCCACTTTTAAAACTAAAAAGCTCCACATAGTCAAGTTATGGCTTCCATTAAAGGCGCAAAGACAGAAGCTAATTAAATTGTCCAACTCCCAGCTTTGCTCCTTATTAAGCAGTTGCTTGCTTCATCAGTCATGCCAAGTCAAGGACTAATTTAAGGAATTAAAAAAAAAAAATTCCCCAGGAAACCAAGGTTTCCAGTAGGAAGCAACTGCCTCTGTTCATTCACTGAATCTAGCACAAAAATGGTAAAAATGGATAAAACCAAATAATGCTAATCACTGACACAGATTAAAGACCTTTTAGAGTTTAGTGGTTATCTGGTAGAGGAACACACAGTAAAAGCAGAAAAGTATTAGGCATGGTTCCTACACCTCTACATGTGGCAAGCAGCTGGTAGAACAGAGCTATCCTAGAACAGAGCAACAAGCTATCCTAGAACAGGGCAACAAGGACAGAAGTGGGAAATACTTCTATGGCAATTTACAAGAGGCGAGTCTAGACATGAACTTTAATTAGCCCATCTTGATTCACAGGAATTATGGACACCAAAGAAACTCTTCGAGAGGCTTCCTGGATACAAAGGATCTTTGTACTTTTCCCCCTAAGATAGTTCCATAAATTTTAACTCAAGTTGGTTTCTTGGTAGAGAAAACCATGAAAAGGTTTGGAGAAGGCCTCTCAACCATCAGCTTGTGAGGAGAACTCCAGGAAGAGGACGCCCAGAGGCAGGACCACTAGAAACATCTCGGCCAGGCTGATTCAGTCCTCGGCCAACAGTTCACCCAACACCTGTCGTGAGTCCACTCTGCGCCAGGCACTGTGATGCGACTCCAAATACAAAATGGGAGACATGCTCATGGGCCAGCAGGTAAGCAACAGACTGATCACCCCCACACACAGTGGTAAATTCATGGTGCTAAAGGGGCACTCTCTGCTTTCCAGGGAATAAATACCCAGCAGATATGATATGTAAACAGTGAGGAGATATCCAAAGGTACTCAGGGTAAACCAAGAGAATATCTTCTCTTCTGCTAAAATCCCAACAAGACGCTTTAAGGCTGAAGCCCATAAAGATTCAGTTACACCAGCTGACTCTAGAACTACCACCCTGGGAATGCAACTGCTCCTCTCAATTCCCCATGTTCGTTATCCCATTGTAACACAAAGAATTCCTTAGGGAGTATGTTGGAATCACCAATGTCACCTCCAATCACTAATACACATACATACCACACTCCTTCATTCTCTGATACAACTTCCAGATAAAACCACTGCCTTACTGATTAGCAGTAAAAATCCTTAAAACCAGGGGGAAAGCCTTGTGAGGTTGTCTTTAAGGGCAGCAAGGAAGGAGGAAGCTGGGAAGAACATTCTACACATGCTTAGCAGTCCTTTTCCCATTTCTAGTAAGTTCCCTTTCCTATTTCCCACACTGATTCCAAACACTGATTGCTCTCAAACCTCCTGTTCTCCCTGTCTTACAATAGATAAGGTTTCTTCCCAATTCACCAAAAAATGCAGGCTCTCATGTGAACTTCTGATGATGGCAATTTACCACCTCCCCTCACCCCAACCCAGAAGCTCTTCTCTGCACACCATGGACTCTGCAGGGGTGTATGTCCCACACTTTCAGCATGGCTTATACTGTGTACAACCAAACCCCACCATCTCCAAAGGTACCAGTCCTGGATGGTCAGCTACCCTCTCAACGGCTCCATAGGAGCATCTTGAAGACCCCCAGATTCTACATGGCCCGAGCAGAATTTAAACCCATTCCAGTCCTTCCCCCAGGGTTCCAGATCTCGGAGACGGACATTATCAACTACGACACCTCCCCACCTTCAATCTAGAGCAGTTCTGTCATCCCGGTCCCCCTCTTATCTCTTATTCCCACAGTTAACTGACTGTCAAGTCCTGGTAGATTGAAGAATACCAAATGAAGAGCAACGTGATTCCAGGGAAGTTCTGAAAGTTTCTCTTGAGTGCCTTATGAACAACACAAAAATTATGGCTGGTTAACCAAATTAAGTAATTCCAGAGTTAGTTGCAAAACTAGAACCAGCATGAAGATCAGTGATCTGAAGGAGACTTGAGAAATATCTCCTGCTATCACATAAGGTTCTCTCTTTTTTATCTCTTTCAGGAATATTTTTATAAATATTTATATGTGTACTCAGCCTGCTTATAACACAGAGCTCGGAAAGATAGCTAATATAATTAGCTAACAGATTCAGGTTTCAAAATTATCTTCAGAAGCTGAAATAATAATCCCAATCAGAAAAACAGGAATAAATTTTTAAAAAGTAATACCCAAGTATAGGACTTAGCACAATAGTGACATAACACACACAAATACCCATGGAGGAAATCTTACCATTTTAATTTGCACAAACCAATGAGAAATGATAATGTAATGAAGACACTAATAACAAAAACAAACTTTAGAACCATTTATAATCAGAGAGTTAGATCAAGACATATCAGCCCTCTTTTACTCTGAATTAACCACATATCAAAGTATCTTTAGAGCAGTGTAACTAGGATGTGATTTTTAGAAAACATATCCTATCATAAAAAGTTGAAGGGCTGAGAGATGTCAGCTTAGGAACAAGATTACT